GTGACCCACATGGCACAGCAGACCTCTCCTGTCTTGCCTGCTGTTTCCCTCAGCAGCATATTTCAGTCAGTCCACCTGTTCTGCTCCCCACTCTGTCTCTGGTGAATCCTCTCAGCCCCCCACATCTCTGGCCTTCACCCCAGTTCTTGTATGCATAAATAAATAAGTCTTTAAAAAAAATTACCTCAGCCAAGACCCAAAAGGTATGCTAATCAAATTTACAGATTTCAAAAAAATCAAAGGCACCTGAACTCATAAAATGAAGGGGAAAATTTATTTTAGTAGGCAAGAATGATGCTTAAAAATTTAGAGGAAAGTGGGGACCTCCCTGGTGGCGCAGCGGGTTAAAGCACTGCACTGAGAAGCTAAAGCCACTTCTGCATGAGTTTGATTCCCGCCTGCCCCGGAGGAGACCACATGGTGTGGCAGACCTCTCCTGACCCGCCCGCTGCTCCCCTCAGCAGTGTACTTCGTCGATCTGTCTGTTCTGTTCCCCACTCTGTCTCTGGTGAATCCTCTCACCCTCCGCATCTCTGGCCTGTACCCCATTTAAAAAAAAATTTAGAGGAAAGTTCCTAGAAGGCCCATTTCTGGGATTTAAAAAAAATTTATTTGGTCCTCCCTTGTGGCGCAGTGGGTTAAAACACAGCACTGAGAAGCTAAAGCCACTTCTGCATGAGTTCGATTCCCGCCTGCCCCGGAGGAGACCACATGGCATGGCAGACCTCTCCTGACCCGCCCGCTGCTCCCCTCAGCAGTGTACTTCGTCCATCTGCCTGTTCTGCTCCCCACTCTGTCTCTGGTGAATCCTCTCACCCTCCGCATCTCTGGCCTGTACCCCAGTTCTATATGAATAAATAAATAAATCTTTAAAAAAATTTAGTTTTATAAGTCCAGAAAGGGAGAAAGCTTTCAGTTTGAAGTAGGAATAAAAGGTTTCAGTCAACAGTGAGATCAAATGGAGACCCCGTTGTCTGCAACACGGTTTGGAGTTTTTTCCAGAGAGACACTAACTAAGAGGAGTGAATGCAGCAGAGAGATAGTGAGTGGTCTGGGAGCCATATTTGTTGTGCATGGGATTGGAAAATTAGACATTTTAGCCTGAAAGAGAGAAGAATCAAGGAAGATGGAGTAGTCATCGTTAATGATAAGAAGGATCATTACATTTGGGGGTTTATGTGGTTCTTGAGGACAGGTCTAAGACTATTAGGAAGTTGAGAAGAAGACATTTTTGCCTTAGTGGAAAGAAAGCTACTGAACTCTAAAAAGTGGAACGAGTTGCCTAATAGAAGTGTTGAGGTTTATAGTTCCTGGGAATTTGAAGGAGAAAGTAAAGGGGGAACCTAAATTTCATGTTTATGTATTTAAAAGTAATGATGCTGGGAGGATTGTAGGTTTGATATTCTTTTCCAGGGACCATTTAGTTTGGGCATTTAAACTAAATCTGGGAATCTGAATCAACCTCCCTGATGCTCCCCTGGCTTTTAGTTCTAGAGCCGGGTCCTAGTGCTTGACCCACCAGCCTCCTGCTCCAGGGGACCCCGTGTGGGCTGGGTCTGAGCCATTCAGAAGCAATTCTACTGAGGATCATAGGAGTGACTTGTCAGCTTCTGCTTCTTCCAAAGCAGAGGGGTCAAGGGAGGAAAGAAGCTGCACCTGGGTCAAAGATCCAAGGTGATTTCAGGTCATTTCCCGGTGAACTTGGCCCAGTATTGGGTGGAGACTAAATTGCACCTCGGGTCTGCAGGTAGGGCATCTTTGTCCTTGAAGGTAACTTGCAGTTGACTGTACTATCTAGCCGCACAGTCCCCTCCTTCCATGCCTCCGAGGTTGGGCTTCAAGAACCATGCGCTTGGCTGGGCTCTGGGGCCTCTGGTCAGCTGTATCCGTTGGGGGTGGGATAAAGCGCCCAGTCAGCACTGCTGCTTGCCATACCCATTTCCTGTCCCCTGTTCCCACAGTCAGGAGGCCTGGGAGGAAGCTGGTGAGGGCCAGCTCTCTTTAGACAGTTCCTCTGCTCCCTGATTTTTTTCCATAGGATTCCCTTAATTGACACGGAGCCTTCCTGTGCCAGTACAGGAACAGGAATACAGTATTTATTTATTTATTTATTTGTAATATAATGGTTTATTTTTACATTATTTGTGCCTTTTTCCATCTCAGTTGTAATCTCCATGGGCTTCCCATCACCAGATCACCCGTGTGCCATCACCATAGTCCAGTGCACTTCCCTCCCCCCACTGTTTTTGATCCCATTCCCTACTCCACCCCTGTAAAATTTCTCTGGTATATAGTTGTTCATTATTATTATTATTATTATTGTTATTTTCTTGCCTGGTCCTTTATACCCCTGCTATGAGTGAAACCATCTGGTATTTTTCCTTTTCTTTCTGACTTATTTCACTAAGCATGATCTTTTTCCAGCTCCATCCATGTGGCTGCAAAAGGCATGTGTTTATTTATTTATTTATTTATTTATTTATTTATTTTGTTGCTGAGTAATATTCCATTGGGGAAATATAGTATTTTTTATAAAAGGATTTTATTTATTTACCCAGCGGTGCAGGGGTGAGGGTGTATATGTGAGAGGATTCACCAGAGAGGAAGAGAGTAGAGAGCAGAACAGGCAGACAGACTGAAATACACTGCTGAGGGGAGCAGAAGAGGGGACAGGAGAGGTCTGCTGCACCGTGGGGGTCAGCTCTTTGGCTGGGGTTCAAACTCCTGCCGCAGTGTCTGTGGATAGCTTCATAGTGCTGTGCTTTAACCTGGACACTTTACAGTGCTGTGCTTTAACCCACTGAGTCACCAGGGAGGGCTCTATAGGAATACAATATACAAAGAAGATCATGGGTCAGTGGGCTAAAAAATAAGGCTCTGGAGTGGGGGAGGTGAACAGGCTGATGGGTAAGAACGAGGACTACAAGTGGTTGGTGTGGAAGTACAGAAGCAGTAGGGATAAAAATGTAAGCAAACCATGTATTGTCCTTTCAGAATTTGTAAAGGATGATGAGTTGGCTTTTCCCTCCCCACATCCCTAATGGAGTGAGAATGACTCTTAACCGGAACTAGACCCCATAAACCCATCCCTATTTGATGTTTGACCCATGGTTACCAGGAGGCCTAAGCATGAATTTTAATTAGGGGATACTATTCTTTTGTGAATTTGACAGTGTCAGTTGTTGTCTCTAGGTTTCTAGTAGGAAATTTGGCTGTGTAAATGAGCAGCAGAGCCTGAGGGGAAGCAGTAGAGATTACAGGATGGGGAATCATTCTTGAGGACTGCTGATTGGCAGAGGCTGAAGTCCAGTGGGGAGGAGAGGATGGGTGACTTGGCTGAGGAGAATCCACAGATCCAAAAGGTTCATGGAGTGCAAGATATACAGGTACTTTGGTCTCTTGTGGGGTGCTTATAGAGAGTGTATACCTCTGTCTTTAATTATTAACTTAGCTCTGGGTGGGTTGGAGTTATAGGTGCATTTTGGTGATAAGATTTGGTTATTTATTGTCTTAGGCCGAAAGGCACATGTGTATAGGACAGAAAAGCCCTTTTTCCGGAAAATAGAGATAAGTACTTGGACAGTGAGTAGAATAGAGTGGGGAAGGGAGACAGTCAATGGATAGCTGTTCTGAGTGGCTTCTCTTTCCTATGTCTCAGGATGGAGTAACATCTGGGTAATGGCCAGGACACAACAAAACAGGAGGACCCTGAGGGTCACGGCAGTCAGAACTGACAGTGGATCACTTCCAACTGCCCGGTGGCCTGAGCAGGCCAGCCTAGCACTGGTCTCTGGTCTCCATCGGTCGTCTCAATCGGTCGTCTCGTTTCACTGCTTTCTCTGGCAAAGCAGGCTGACTCTGACCTTGCCCTTGGAACCCTGGGGAGAAGAGTGGTTAAATCCCTCTGATGTGTCAGTTGCTGAGCTGGGAAGGAGGGCGTGATGCTGCCATTCCCTCTGTGGCCTGGGAAGATGTGCCTTAGTGCCAGCCTGCTTAAGAGGCTGAGGGGACCGAAGAACATTCTGCTGAGTCTCAGAATTGTTTCATTTGACTTTCTTCCTGGCCACATCCTGGGGCTTTGGTCAACCTCACAGCTTGTATGGCTTTTCTTCTTGAATTTCTGAAGTAGCAGATTGTAATTTGAGGGTAAAAGATTTCTCTGAGATTCTAATGAAAGGTAGGGGGTGCTTTTCATAGAAAAATGTCACACATACATGACTCGTGACAGATAATTTCAGGTCTTGTGGAAGCCTTAGGTTAGGGAATCCCACTAGAAGGGGGAGCCATGAACTCTATGGTGCTCACCCAGTGAACAAACAGATAGCCTCTGTCTCAGAGTAGAGGCCTTGAGGAATGCTTGTGGCTCCTACCTTCTTATTGCCCAGGCAGGAACAATGCCTTTTCCCGTTTTACAGCAACTTGGCACAAAACAAGCAGCTGAGCTGGCAGGCAGAGCAAGAAGTCTTGCCTCCATCCTCATCCTGACTTGCCACCCAGACATGGACTAAGTCACCCACAACGTGTCAAAGTGGGCAATGATACGGCAGCGTCAGAGTGCTATATCCTGGAGCCCATACTGGGGGTACAGGGGTGTGTGGGGGGGGAGAATACTGTGACTTTGCGGAACTAACAGAGCAAATTGATAATCCTGTATAGTGACCAGTGCCTCCCACTCCTGTGAGTACTTTGTAACTTTGTACATAAGAAAATCCCGATCACTTCTTTTTGTGCTTTTCATATGGGTAATGAGTGTGTGTGTATGGGGGTAGATGGGGGGGGCTCTTGGGGGGGGTGTGGAGACACAAGGTGCTCAGCAAGGGCTTCTGAATGATAATAGTGAGAACATTCTAGGCAGAGGTTTCAAAGCAGAGCAAGTCAGAACCCCAACATTTCTTTGGCTGAGGGGCCTATTTTGGTGATTGCTACTTAAAAAGCATCCTGGGAGCCTAAGGCCCTCTGAGTGGTAGAGTCAGTTACCCATCAGTATTTTTTTCTTTCAGGTCTCTTAACCTTCATTAACTGTGCCTATGTCAAGTGGGGAACCATGGTACAAGATCTTTTCACCTATGCTAAAGTATTGGCATTGATTGCAGTCATCATCGCGGGCATTGTTAAACTTGGACAGGGTAAGAAATAATATTCATAGTAACATTTGTTACGCATTTTCTATGAGCCACAACCCTCTAGGTGCTCTCTGCCTACTACTTTATTTTGTAGATACGATCACCACCCTCATTTTATAAATGAGTTGAACCTGCAGGATTAAGTATCTTGCCCAGGATTCTTAGCAAATAAGTAGTGGAGCTAAAATTTGTTCCCCAACAGACTGAGCCCAATGCCTGTCTTTTAGCTTCTGTACGTGCTGCCTCCCAGAGGAAGCTTATGTTGGCCAAAGTGCCGACAGCCAAGTGCTGGGAGCTGGCTTTGGCAGATGGGTGAGCCCAGTGCTGTGGCTGATTGTTCTTTCCTTGGGAGTGGGCAAGGCCATGAACTCCTGTGCCCACTCCAGACTCCAGTATGAACATACCTCCCCTGCAGCTACTCTGCTGACCTTGGCACACTGAGCCCTCTCTTCTTCCACCCAGGGTCAGCTGTGTGGTGTTAGGAAGTGGCTAGGATCTGGCAGCTTGAGGGGCGGGACAGAACTGTATCCCTCCTGTTCTCCAACTCTTCTGTGGTTGTTTTTCATCCTAGAAAGTTACCCCATGTCCTTCCTATCAAATATTCATGCTGTTCCCTACATTGCAGTTGTTTCTTTTGTTTCCTCATTAGTTTCCATGCTGCTGAAGGTGTTGGAAGCCACTCTCCAGCTGCGATATTTTCCACTCCTTCATGGATCACTTGCGGTTGTGTGAAGGCCACTAATCCTGTCTTTCCATGTTTTTGGGTTCCAGGAGCCTCTACCCACTTTGAGAATTCCTTTGAGGGGTCATCATTTGCCATGGGCGACATTGCCTTGGCACTGTACTCGGCTCTGTTCTCTTACTCGGGTTGGGACACCCTCAACTACGTCACTGAAGAGATCAAGAATCCTGAGAGGTTGGTATTGCTCCAACTTTCTATGGCCATTATGGGATTATTTACCCAATAGTCTTCATTTACTGAGCTCCTACAATGTGCCAAAACATACCATAATGCTACAGTCAATTTTGTCAGCCCCTGGTCAGAGAAACAACTTGTCTGTGACCATGGTCATAGAATTGAGATGTGACTTTTCTAACGTATATCTTTTTTTAAATTATTATTTTAAGAATTTTTATTTATGCATAGAGAACTGGGGTGCAGGCTGGAGGTGTGGGAGGAGGTGAGAGGATTCACCAGAGACAGAGTGGGGAGCAGAACAGGCAGATGTACTGAAATACACTGCTGAGGGGAGCAGCGGGTGGATCAGGAGAGGTCTGCTGTGCCATATGGGCCAGCTTATTGCCCGGGGATCAAACCTAGGCCTTAGCTGTGATAGAGCTGAGACTTAATCCCCAAGTCACCCAGGAGGCTGGCACATATACTTTTTTTTTTTTTTTAAAAGATTTATTTATTTGTGCATACAGAACTGGGGTACAGGCCAGAGGCTCAGGGACGGTGAGAGGCTTCACCAGAGACAGAGTGGGGAACAGAACAGGCAGATCAACGAAGTACACTGCTGAGGGGAGCAGCGGGCGGGTCAGGAGAGGTCTGCCACGCCATGTGGTCTCCTCCGGGGCAGGCGGGAATTGAACTCATGCAGAAGCGGCTTTAGATTCTCAGTGTTGTGCTTTAACCCGCTGTGCCACCAGGGAGGGCCACAAGGCACATATACTTTTAAATAGACTTTCCTTGATAGAGTTTTTACCACCCTAATCCCCAGAGATAACTTTAGGTCAGACTCCCAGAAACCTGTAGTTTCCTGTCTGATCACATCCTTGTTTCCCAGATTCATTCTGATATGGTTGTGTGTTTTAGTCATTCAATGGTCTCACCACACCATTGTTACTCTAAATGACCCTGTAGTCATCCAGCGTGAAAAGAGCACTTGGTAGGGAGTCTATTGGCCTGGCGCCTGTCTTTTTCCATTGAGTTGTTGGATGACTTCAGGGAGCCCATTGCCCGCTCTTTGTAATTGATGGGGCTGAATTTTATGGCCTCTAGGACCTTTCCTGGCTCTGAAATTCAGTGATTCCAGGAATGAAGATTTCCCAGGGAGTGAATGCTTTATAAACTTTTTAGTCAAAAGAATAATAAACTCTTTCTGGCTTTGAGAAACAGAGGACGCAACCCTGGGAGCAGAAAGGCTGCAGAATGGAGGTCTGGGTGGTGCTTCCATCTGCTGGACAGAAGCTGAACTACTTGAGCATCCCTCCCTCCCCCAAACCCCGCCCCATTTGTTTCTGTAGGCTCGAGTGAAAAATGTTTAGAAAGATGTTGGCTTTATGGGGCGAAGCTTGTGCATCTTTCTCTTGCCTCCAGCGAGGATAGCATCCAAGGTCCCCCCACAGACCTTGGGGGTTGGGGTGGACATAATTTCCAGTCTGCTTGTTCAGACACACTCACTATTCTTCCTCCTGAGGTGTCTTATTCTCTGGAGATGTTAGATTTCACAATTTGTCTTCATAATCTCTTCTTATTTCTCAACCTTAAAATAAAATTGCCAATAATTGACAGTCTTAGAGAAGGAATCCTGGTACCTACAAGATCACCAGATGAAAAAAAATCAAGCCAAGAAAACTCCCAACTTCCTGTGCTTTTATACTGTGACATAGTTCTTTTAATCTTTTTTCATTTAGCCCTTTCTCTAATGTGTTATCCCCCTCTTCCCTTGATGTTTTTTAGTTTTTAAGAGCTTAAGCCACTCTCCTAGGCAACTTCAAATAGTTTATTCAACTTCAAAAGAAATGCCACAGGAGGCCCTGTCCCTGGATTGGTGTGGAAGTCTAAGGATTAAAGGGGAGATGGGGTGATGTGACTGTGGGACTAATGTATCCATCATTCTGTTTGGCTGTAGGAATCTGCCTCTCTCCATTGGCATTTCCATGCCCATTGTCACCGTCATCTACATCTTGACCAATGTGGCCTATTACACTGTGCTAGACATGAAGGACATCCTGTCCAGTGATGCTGTAGCTGTGGTAAGGATTTTCCCTAATGGGAGGAGGAGGCTGAGGGTGGGTTTGTGGGCTAATGGGCATATGGCAGCTTTTCAAGTCCCGGAAGTGGGTTAGTTCTTGACAGGATTATGCTTAGGTTACTGGGCTTGAAGGAAGGTCCAATTTCCCTGTTGTAGAAGGGCTGGGTTCCCAGTAAGGGGGATTGGGCATGCTTGTCCATGCCTACATCCTTTATAGGGCCTGCTAATGACTCTCACCTGTTCCTTTCCCTTAGACTTTTGCAGACCAGGTTTTTGGAATGTTCAACTGGACAATTCCATTGGCAGTTGCATTGTCCTGCTTTGGTGGTCTCAATGCCTCCATTGTGGCTGCTTCTAGGTATGATCGGCACTTGTACAGAGGGAAGGCACTGTGAATAGAGCCATGGCTGGGGAGGGCAGGATTCACAGGACCCAGTCTTTATTCACTGTGCACCTCAAATGATATTCACCACCTCTTGATTTTGTTCCTATCAGCAGCCATCAGTTCTCATTAATCTCAGCACTGACCTCCATTCTCAAATTCTTCTGAAGGAGGGGATAGCAGAGGTAGGGCTGTATGACATGTGAGCCATGCTATACCCAGGCATTCCAGAAGTTTCTCAATTCCTACCTTATGCAAAACAGGCTTTTCTTTGTGGGCTCAAGAGAAGGTCATCTCCCTGATGCCATCTCCATGATTCATGTTCATCGATTCACACCGGTGCCTGCTCTGCTTTTCAATGTAAGTGACCTCAAGGAGGAGGCTGAAAGCCAGAACGTAGGGGAAACTTGAACAGTTGATGCAGCTGTTCTAGCTTTTTAGAAGCTCTAAAGGAGATTCTAACAGAAAAACTGTAGATGGGACATCTGCCGTGACAAGGCACTGTACTAACTGCTGCAGTGGCCTCAAGAGAGAAGCTATGTCTAGGGAACGTTAACATCTTCTGATCTAGGATGAGGAATAATGGACATGGGATGTATTGTAATAGCTGCCAAGTCAGTGAAGTAGTGTTTAAGGCAAGAAAATGATCAAGTCCAGCAGGAAAGTCCTGGAGGTGCATTTGAGGTGACCTTTTATTTTTGCATAGAAGAGCTGGGTGTAGGCCAGAGGCATGGGAGGTGAGAGGATTCACTAGAGACTGAGTAGGGAGTGAACAGGTAGATTTACTGAAATACACTTCTGAGGGGAGCAGCAGGCAGGTCAGCAGGCAGATCAGCGCCATGTGGGTCAGCTCCCAGAAATTTCATAGCTTGTCAGCTGTCCACAATTTGGGTGGCAGCACTGAGACTTAACCCCTAGGCCATCAGGGAGGCTCTGAGGTAGACTTTTAAGGTTATAGTTACAAACTGTAGTAGTGGGCTTTAAGCTGAGAGATACCAGAAATCCTGAGGTAAAGCAATTTGGAGCTGGGAATTGGGTAGAAGCTGGGAATATATGGTGGAACCCTAAGGAGGCACTCTTAGGCAGAATATTGGAGGGATTTTTTTTAAAGCTGTGCTTTATAGAGGATTAACTGGGCAAGTATTTTAAGGACTGAAAAACCAACTGAGGCTGCCTACTTAGTGAGAAAGGAATGAAGTATGGAAATTAGGGTGGTAGAGGGTGGGAAGAGGACTATTGGGGACACTGAAGACTGTACTATAAGACGGATGCGTGCATGGGCAATAAAGGGGACTGAAAAGTACCTTGAATAACAAAGACCACAAGGCCTCACCATCTTGTGCCTGCAGGGTATCATGGCACTGATCTACCTGTGTGTGGAGGACATCTTTCAGCTCATTAACTACTACAGCTTCAGCTACTGGTTCTTTGTGGGGCTTTCCATTGTGGGTCAGCTGTACTTGCGCTGGAAGGAGCCTGAGCGACCTAGACCCCTCAAGGTAACTCACTTCCACCCTACCCCCAGGGCTGCAGGGCCCCTTCAAGATACTTTAAGACATCTTTGCCTGGGATTTGGTGGTGGTGATGTGTTGAGATTAAGGGGGTTGGGAAGGCTTAGGGCACTCTTCAGTGTGTGGGGTTGAGCTGTTGACTACGAGATGTCTAACCAGTTGTTTCCTATGTGCTCTTAGCTCAGCCTTTTCTTCCCCATTGTCTTCTGCCTCTGTACCATCTTCCTGGTGGCTGTTCCACTTTACAGTGATACCATCAACTCCCTCATCGGCATTGGCATCGCCCTCTCAGGCCTGCCCTTTTACTTCCTCATCATCAGAGTGCCAGAACACAAACGACCTCTTTGTCTCCGAAACATTGTGGGTAAGCTGGATTCGCAGGTTGGCTCAGCCATCATACAGCACCCCCTTTATGCCCTGCAAACCTAATCTCCTCAGTCATCTTTGCCATAGTCTCTATTGCCAACTCTAACGCTTACCTCAGTTGCTCCCTCAGGCACCACCCTGTCACTAGAACTCAGCTCAAGTGACCTCTTAATTTTGATTCAAACTTGTCTTCTTTATGTAGCATCTACCACACGGTACCTCCAGTTCCTATGTATGTCAGTTACTGCTGAGATGGATTTGGAAGAGGCAGATACATCCAAGCAACAAGATCCCAAGTCCAGCTAAATACAGTCCAGAATCCTGAGATGTGGCAAGCAGGGATCTCTTGCCTCCTACTGGCTGGAGCCAGGGAAGATGAAAAAGCAAGCTCATTTCTTTGGAGGCACTTGTCCAGAGGTCTAGACAGCTTCAAAGCTTTTGAACTTGTTTTTTTGAGATGGAAAGTAATTTATTTGTTTTGCTACATATTGTTCCAGATTTTTTTTAAGGGATGATAAAGCAGACTGGGGGAGCATGTCATGTGTGGGTTTGGTTCTATAGCCCATTTCTGTGTGTTAGCACTCACCTCTGGGGGTGCCGACTCACTCTTTTCCTTTAAAAGGGCCAATAATGCTCTAAACTTCCTGTCTCCTTTAGAGACACGAAACTGTCAGAGGTGCTGGACAATAAATGGGTTACGCTGCTAAATACTGAGTGACTTCATCTTCTGTAATATCTTGAAAGTGTGTGAGTTCTTCCTTCTCTAGGCTGTTGCTGAAGACTGATACAACTGATCTCACCAAAGGACACCTAAACTTGTGGAGTGAAATGTTAGTTTATGATCAGCCTGCTCTTTTTAGTGATTACTAAGCATTTGGGCACATTTTCTTGAAGGCTACCTTATAGGTGACCATGGGCAAACAAATGTGGTTATTCTGTCTAGATGTGCCTCCGCCACGGGCACCATGCAAGCGAGGATGGAACTACATATCTATGGGGGCGGGGGTTGGGGGGGCAAGCGCTTCATGCCAGTTTCCTACACCTCCTCAGAGCAGAGCCAGCAGGAGCCATCACTGCCCCATCTAGTCTAAACTTTTTTTGAAGCACACAATCCATTCTCCTGTTTAATAAGTATCAACAAGTAGCACATAGTACAGAGGTTTACTAATTCTGTGAATGGGAAGCTCACTCAGCTCCCAGTGTGCCTTCTCCACGTAGGCGTAGGCCTGCAGCAGAATCTGCTTTTAAAATGAACACCTCCACGTCCCCCAGTTTCTAGGTCCGGAGCAATGACCCAATGTCAAATCCTGTTCTGAGGTTGAGTCTTTGAAGAGACAGAATTCCTGTCAGTATGAGCAGGGAACAGAATTCAACCAAGTGTGTCACGCCAGGGCTGCTTCGACTTTGGTTTGCTGCTGCTGCTGCTGCTGCTGTTAGGGGTGTTGGGCGGGTGGTTCTTTTCAGGCTGCAGCAGAGGGTTGTGGGTAAAGGTCTGTCTTAAAGGACCTGGGGAAGGAGGAGAGAACAGATCTTGAGGAACAAAAGAAAGAAAGAAACACAAGACAGAATTAGTCTGAGAGGCTCACTTACCCCTGGCTGCCAGCTCCAGGTGATTCTGTAAGCGTTGTTCACGCTCTCGCAGCCGATGTGCCACTTCGGCATTCTTCCAGCCTGTGTAAAGAGGAGCAACATGTTCAGTGCAGTACCCACTTCAGACTACTTCTCCCCAGACCTGTTAGGCTGTTACCTGTCTTGAAGCTCTTTATGAAGCCTTCCCGTGGAAGTAATTTGCTGGGGTCATGCACGACACGCTGGGGGATTTTAAGTGCAGTGCGTACTGCTGGAATCCGCAGGCAGGTCACCTGGGCCAGGGAAAACACATTGGAGGAGAGCCAGTACACGAACACAGCCTGCAGGAAAAGAAGAGAAGGTGCTCAGGACCTGGGCAGCTCCTGGGGCAGTTAGATAGGTGGGAGGGCCAGGAAGTAGCCCCAACGTCATAACCTACCGTGGGGAAGTGGATAGTTATGGGCAAGACAGCCAGGGGCATCACTCTGATAAAATTTCTCATCCATTGAAGATCAGAACTTTGCACACCAGTCTCAGCACCTAACTGCGAAAAACAAAGGAGGAGTGATAAGTACATGCCAGTTTTAGAGAATCGGGTTTATAATTCCTACCAATCAGCTCCGCCGGGGGGGGGTTCAGAATGGCTACTTCGTACTTCCCTCCCTCCCTTGGCCAAGATGGGCTCACCTCAAGGACACCCCACATTGTAGCAGTGACCACCAGTGGTAATATATAGGTGGGGTCAGATAGTGTGAGATCCTGGAACCACAACAGGCCACCTGTCTGGAGGCTCGGCACGGGGAGGTTGGCCATTTCTCTCAAGGCGATGAAGAAGGAGATGAAGATTGGGGCCTATTACACAAGATAACAGTATTAGGACCTTTAGCAGAGGGGACATTTTCATGACTCCATTAGTGGGAACTATGTAAAATGCACCACCACTTGCGTTCTGGAGCATGGGAAACACAGAACAGGTGCTCTGAATGGTTCAAGATGAAGAAGGGCAATGTCTTTGCTTACCTGAGTGAGAGGTAGAATGAGTGGTCTCAAGAGTTTAACATCATGCTTTTTCTGGTAAAATGCCATCTCCGAGGAGGCCTTGTAAACTGTCAAGTGAGGGGACATTAATAGCTCGTGGGTTTCTATGAGCTGGTCGTTCAAGGGGAACTGTGACCTATGCTACCCACAAATCTCAGCAGAACATTCCTTGAGTACATATGGAGTACAGCTGATTATCACGGGGCAGGCCTGGGTTTGCCTAGGCTGCTCTTGACTGGATGACATGACTATCTCCATGGCAGTCTTGGGATAACTCTGTCTGTGATATCATCCCGATGCCCCTTTCCCTTTAAAAACTTTCCTATACTACCCTCAGGACCCCATTCCTCATACCACTGTCGCACAATCACCTTTTACTATCCTGTATGATTTCAACAAATGGCACAAGAACTTCTGTCCAAGCGGCACTGTTGCCTTGCAAACCCGGTCACGACTGCTGTGTCCCTCATCACTTTCCCACCACAAAGCAGCAAAAAGTTCCTGTTGTCACAACAGCTGGGTTAACAAGTGACCGTGATGGAGGTGACCACCTTCCTCACTTGGCCCATGGTATTTCTAACGGACCCCAGCCAGTCACTGGAACCATTTGGTTCCAGAAGCAGGTAAATTTTAAAGCCTGCACAACTATAGCAACTCCTGCTTTAGGTTGTTTCTCTCCCTTTGGCTGATTTCAGGAAAAGTACAAGTATGACCTTCTCCCATGCTCAGCTCATTCTGCAAATGACTCACACTCAGCATGGTCTCCTGTCAACTTGGCCTCTCGGATTCGAGTGGAAAACTTCTGGAGCTCTGGCAAGTGATTGTGGATCTTGGCTGCCTCTCGCTGGCCCTTCACAATGAGAGGAAACACCACGCAGCGGGCAAGGACTGTACCTGCAAAACATACACTAGGGTTGGAGTAAAGTTAAAGCAGTTCTGCAGCTAAAAGTCTGAGGTTTTTAGGTCCTCAGTTTTCTACACTGTGACTCATGCCCAAGCGCAGCCCCCCCAAAGGGGCAGGGGTATGACTTAGTTCCTTGAAAGCTCAGTCCTCTGACTTTGTTAAAAAAAGTCCAGTGCTAACTTTTGTAAGCAATCAAAAGAGGGCACACACCACTTTTCTAGATGAGCAGTCTTCAAACTTCGATTATCAAGTTTTTTAAAATATTTCAACCCTGAGAGTAGTTCCAATATACAAAACAGATGAAATCGGGCCACCTTGTATAAGGGGGTAGTCTGGCTTTAAGATTGTTCAAGTTCTGGACTGTGCTCAGAGACACCATATAGAAATCTGGGATTCTAGGAATGAGGTTTGAAAGCCATAGGTTTAGAAATCCTTGGAGCAGGAGGTAATCTGGCAGCCTATTATTTTAGACCCTGTGTATTTTTCTTAGACTTCCTGCTTCCTGACCATCCCAACAAATATTTATTGAGATTATGTATCTGCATACAAACAAGAAGGGCTGAGGAGAGAGTGGTAGGGACAGCAGGGAGGGGGCAGATATAGCCTTAGACTAGAGCGACATTATGATAGAGGACCTGCATTGCGGAAGGATGGAGGGCTGGAACCCAGAATACTGGCACTGAGTGGAAGGTTGAGTACTGGGCAGTGGGGATGGGAAGGTGGGGTGAAAAGACAGGGCAAAACCCCGGGAAGAATGTGACAAGAGAGACTTTGAGGTCTAAAATATTGAAAAGGGGAAGGCCAATTATGAGGAGAAAAGTGGGTCTAGTAATGATATCACTGGCAATGAGAATGAGTTGGTACTAATAAGAGTCAGACTGCTGAACGTGAAAGAGTACAAAGAAAAAGGCAAGCCCAGTGGATGCATGCGTACTATTTTACAGAACAGCTATGACAAGAAGAAAGGTAGGGTAGTTAGTGGTGAACTAAGGATGAAGGGAAGGAACTCCCCTGCCATAAAACACATGGTAAGCTTGAGCATGTTTGTATTTTCAGAGTAGGGCAGTAAGCAGGGAGAAATGGAAGACATGGGAAAAGGTGACAGCTGGAACAAGATGCAGAAGAGAGGGCCCGGCCTGGTGGTGCAGCGGGTTAAAGCACAACACTATGAAGCTAACGCCACTTCGATCCCCTGCCCTGGAGGTGACCCACATAGCGTGCAGAACTCTCCTGACCAGCTCACTGCTCCCCTCGTTGATCAGCCTGTTCTGCTCCCCACTCTGTCTCTGGTGAATCCTCTCACTGCCCCTGCACCTCTGGCCTTTACCCCAGTTCTGTATGCATAAATAAATCTTTTAAAAAAATGCATAAGAGAGAATTTAAAGCACAGTTTTAGCCTATACAAGAGCAATGTGTTTTCCCAAATTTGAGGTCAGAAAGGCCAGACCTAACATTATCCTTTTGTAGAGTGGGAAAACATCATCCTTAACAAGGTCCCCTTACTCTAAACCTGTGCTCATATTCAAATATCTCAACATTAAGTCCTTACTTAATGTCATCTTAGATTCTTGGAGATTTAAACTTGAGTCAAGAAGATGAAAGCAAGTCCTCCAACAATGTGGTTTTGTTCAAAGTTGGCTGCCACTGTTTTCACATCAACATGAAACAATGTTGAACAAAATGACTTTGTCTGAGGACCTACTGTACTTCTTGAATTCCAGATTACCTAATGGTTTAATAAAGCCCATTTAAAAATATAAGGAGAGAACATTTAAGAATCTTGAGCCTCTGTTCCTCACTTGAAGTCATTTGCTGGTCTGACAAATTTAGGCAACTACTTCCTTGATAGGCAGGACAGAATGCCATCTTAAGTCCCCGTATCCTCTATCCTTGTTCAGGATATAAGCCTCTTACATGCAGCAATGGCTCCCCACCAAGGTAGGCCCAGGCTAACATGCATATATTCCATTAAGTTCTGGATCAGTCCCACTGGGGTGTAAGATCCCAGGCCCAGTTCAGTGAAGCTCTGTTCTGCAGCAGCTTGGATTATATCTGCTGTCTCTCCAGAAGTCACTTCAGTTACGGCTGCAGGTGGGGGAGTTGCAGGAATGACTGGAGGGGCCTGAACCTGTGCAAAAGGAAGCCATGAGTAATATTCAGTTGGTCTCAGAGGGTCTCACTATGATAATCAGTACTGAATGCTTTGATTCCCTACTTCTCCTTCTCCCAGGTTAGCCTACAGTAGCCACACAATTCACTGTTTTCCCCTCTAGAAATGAAGATGTTACTTAGACTAGGATTTTATGACTTTGTCATATCAGGAAATTATTTCTTCTATCAGTGTTTCTTAAGTTCAGTCATCTGAGCATCACTGAAAGACGTTGCATCTAACGAAACTATTACAGCTATAACTTTCTTTTAAAATAACTTCATTTTTAAGAACAAAAATACCTGCTTGGTCTCATCCTCTGACATACCATACCCACGAAATCATATATTTGATATGCAAGTTAGGATTTTTCTAAACCACTCTGATAGACGACTCTTGTAAATCTCTGCTGCTGTACTTGCTATCATTTCCCTACTGATCTGAAAATTTACCCCAAGTAGAGATGCTATCATTTGGGGAAGCTGTACTGACTGCGGACAAGAACTATGCTCTACATTCCCCTTTCCCTTACTCCAAACACAATGCAAACAACCAACCAAGAAGCACCATCCCTAACGTTACAGGAGTGAAACGCCTCATACCTGGGCCTCAGCAAAGGAGACGGCTGACGTACTAAGGCCGCGGGGGCCGGGGGCGACAAGAAGGGCATAGCGCGGGCGCCTGGAGCACTGGCCCGCAGGGAACAGGAGGCAGGCGGCCGGGGGCTTCTGGGGCCAGTGCGAGAGACCTGCAACGCTGTGGAACTGCGTGGGTAAAGGAAGATGTAGTAGAAGTCGCTAGTGGGCCTGCGGGGTCCCCGCCATGACCCACCCATGTCCTCCCGCGACCCGGTATCACGAGATGGCGGGGCCAGGAGAGCAGATGACCCTCTGCCTCCAGCACGAGCTGGCCCTCGCTCGGGTCACAGGGACAGGCGACATCCCGGCGTTCGGCCTGGGACATCCTTACCCCATGCCCTGGCCGTAGCCGGCGCAGAAGCTCCCGAGGCTGGTACATGAACCGCAGCGCCATTTTGCCGGAAGCAGCGCTGTTCGCGCCTGCGCACTGCGAAGCGCAGCGCCCGATGAGGAGGCCCTTTTGGAAATGGGCGTGAAGCCAGAGCTGTCGCTACGTTGGCCAGTAAACGGAGGCTGAGGTTTGGCGGCCATATTTGAAGTGGGTAAGACGGCTCAGGGTCACAGTAACAAGGTCGCGCAGAGAGGTTTCCGGGGCCTGAAGTTGAGAGGAAAGCCGGCTGGTGTGAGGGATGCAGAATCCCGCGGAGTTTCCCTCCGTTGTAGGATGGACTGGGTTAAAAAGTAGCCGCCGGGCTGTTGTGACTGTTCCTGGCGTGGCTTTTCCCTGCACGGTGATGTCAACTCTCACTGTAATCGCAGATCCCGTGAAAGTTGAGGGTAGTTTGGAGTCTGACAGAAATTGAGGGAAGGCAGCCCTTATGAAATATTTTCCTCCGAGATAAAAAGACAGCACTTCGTGAGGTGACTTCACCTTTCCCTTTCTTTCTTTCTTTCTTTTTTTTAATATCTAAAAAGTTAGGTTTATTAGAACAAGGGACCGGAGAAGACACTTGCACAGACACAATTGGGCAAGAGAGACTTGCCCTTTCCCTTTCTTTAAGTTAGGTTGTGTGAAGAGTATATTGCGAGGCCTTTAGGGGACAACTCTAAAGAGGAAAAGCTAACATGGGGAAGGTGGTTGGATGTAAAGATAGAAATACCCTGAATACTTTGAGCGGCTGCACCATGTTTGGAACCACCTATCTCGACTTTATCGTGAAAGATAATTAGGTCTTTGTTTTGTGGGTTCTGGGGTCTCTGCCTGGCGCTTGGGTGTTCTGTTTGAAGTGGATAAAATTCCTCTAAGTATTTGAGGTGAGGTTCTCCAACCCACAACAACAGAAGCACTGCTTACAAAGGTGCCTATTATATATCTGTGTCATTGTAAAGTTTTCAAAGGGATTGCTTTTTGAATGACAAAATACAGTTTGCTAAATATACAATAGCCTGGAATGATTTCAATCACTGCTAGTTTGGGGTTTTTATGAATGCATCTGATAGAATGGGTTAGTGCTAGAGTTAAGTGTTGCACAAGTGTTTAGTTAATGACTTACCACATACATTTGTGTTGCCTGCAGCCGTAGCTCATAAAGCTGAGGCATTTAGGCTACAGCCAACTTATACATCTTATGTTTACCGTCTCTTGATGTATCTGCCATTTTGCTTTGTGCTTGATTTAATCTCATGTTCCTCATGGTGCCTAAGCATTCAGAGCCCACTGCTAGTATTGCATTTGCACAAGGAGCACACTGCCAATTGAAGTGTTTCCTCAGAAAATGTCTCTGACCCTGCACATGTGTGATTGTTATTAGGGCTATAACCTGTCAGTCATACAGACTGAATGCTATTGTAAGTAAGTTTTTTAAAGCTTACTTAAAAAAAAAATCAGTAAAGTTAGAGGTGATGACAAATACCAGGTGCAGGCCACTTTGGGGAAAAATGATTCTACGGTAGATTTACTTTAGTGGCCCCCGTGAACCATGACTTTCAGAGTTTATATCCTCTATTGTTCCCTCTTAGGCTGACCTGGTGACTTGCACTAAGTTATAGTGGGTGTTGGAAATGATGCTGTGCTTGTTCTAGGCATCTCCTTTAACATCTGTTAATTCCTAGTGACCAGCTGCCATGTTAGAAGTTTGACTTCTCAGAATCCCATGCTGTGAAAAACTCATCCTAACACTATGGAGAAGCACTGAGGCCTTGGATAAAGACTCTAGTTGAACTGCTAGCTAATAGTCTCCTTAACTTCAACCATGTAAAGAAGGCTATTTTGTAAGCAGGTTCTCCAGCTCACAGAGTCAGTCCATGTAATTCCATGTGGAACAGAGACAGGCTGTCTCTGCCCAGCCCAAGTTGCAAATAAGATGACTGAGATTGTGGTTTCAAGCAAATAAGCAAATAAAATGCTTGAGATTGTGGTTTCAAGCCATTAGTTTTGGAGCAATAAATAACTAAAATGTATTGTTATATGAATAGCTATTTATACTTGGTAAAAAAAAGCATTTTTTTTTCTAATAGGTCTAACTGAGGTATATCTTACATTAGTTTGCACTTATTTCTGTGTAGTTTAATTATTTTTTCATGGAAATTGGCTCTATTTTTCCATTTGTACATTTTTAGAGGTAGGTTTATTTATTCTATTTATTTATGCATGCAAGAGCTGAGGTGCAGGCCAGGGGAATGTGGGATATGTGTGTGTGAGAGAGGATTCATCAGAGACAGAGTAGGGAGCAGCACAGGCAGATCTACTGGAGTGCACTGCTGAGGGGAGCTGTGGTGAGGCGGTGAGTTCTGCTGCTCCATGTGGGACAGCTCCCTGGCTGGGGATTGAACACAGGATGCAGTGACTGGGGATAGCTTCATAGTGCTCAGACTTAACCCTTTGTGCCACCAAGGAGGTCCTCTTTTACAGCTTTTTAATTCTTACTAGGGATATTAGGTGTTCAAAAGTGACTGACAAAGCTTGGATCACAAAGCAAGAAAGGGTACAAATTAACAAAATCATGCCTTTGATGGTCTCTGGAGTTTAAAAACAGCAATTGGTGTAACTAGATTATGTTTGCAAGGAGTGTATGTATGTGAAACTAGGTGGGATTGGGGAAGGAAGATAGGTAAAAATTAGAGGTTCAAGACTGGGTTAGGAAGAAAATTTTATAGTAATCATATCTTCAATGAGGGGTTGCAGCAGGCAGGTCAGGAGAGGTCTGCCCTGCATAGGTCAGGAGAGGTCTGCCCTGCATGTGGGTCACCTCCGGGGCAGGCGGGGATCAAACTCATGCGGAAGTGGCTTTAGCTTCTCAGTGCAGTGCTTTAACCTGCTGTGCCACCAGGGAGGGCCCGATATCTTCAATGAGGAAAGCTTGAACTAAGCTAGACCAATGTGATGAAGAAGACTGTTAGCGGGGACACTTTAAGAGAAAAACACTGCAGATCAGGTGTTGGAGGTGACACTAGTGAAAACTAAAGATACTGGGGATTCTGAGTGGGAATGTTAGGAAAATGGTGGTACCACTGACATAAATGGAAAAAGTGTAGTACATTGGTCAATCGCTTGGTTGCTCTCAGATCTTCTCTGCTCTTCCTGCTCAATCTTGTATCATATGGAACTACATTTCCTTGATCCAGCTTCTGGATCAATCTGGCAGTGGGAATCACTGACAGAAGAGTGAAGAGAGGAGAGAATTTAGGGTATTTCTCCTCATCTTTCTCTGCTTCCTGTGATATTCCTAGAAGTGTTTTTCCTCCTCCTTGGCCAAATAATCTTTCTCTCCTGGTTAATTCCCTCCATGAAGACCTGCTACAATACTGGAGCCCTCTTGATGCCCTTAGAGATTTTGAGCTCTAGGAACCACTAACTTCAACTGTTTCTCTGGCCCAGGACAGGTTAGCAACTACCTGCTGTTACCAATTTCTGAATTGCTTTATGATTCCATTTGATTTCCCTGTAGAAGTATAGTTCTATTACCCATATCCCAATTTCTTGTAATAATGTTCCTCTGACATCCTTGGATATTTTTTATTTCCTGGCTGTACCCTAAAAATATAGCATAGAAGCTGTGTCAGTTATAAAGTAATTGTCTCAGCTTCAAACCCAATCACTTTATGATGCTGGGCTGGTACCCTACAAACTACGATTCTGCTTCACCAACCCAGGTGCCTGTTCTACTCCGAGAGTAAAGGACAGTAGAGGAAAACTTGGACAGCAGGAGGAGAGAAAACTCACTTGCACCTTTTTGTTTGTTACATGCGGGTTTCCTAGGTAATATCAGGTCTGGTCAGCAGGATTTCAGCAGTGCTTCCTCATCCTGCCAGTTCTTCTCATAGCAGTGGCTAATCCAGTTTTTAATTTTCCATCACTTGCAGACCCATCTTCTGTCACCCCCTCTTAGAGGCATGCCAACTCCTTTGGCCTGGTGCCCCCTCTTCAGAGATCTGATTTTCAGTTCTGTGGGGCCTTTTTCTAGGCTACAGTGTTCTAATAATCCTGTCTTCTTCTCTTTGTTCCCTGAGAGGTGGAGTGGTAGCTGCTCTCTGCAGAGCAGGGATCATTCAGAGTTCTCCTTTTACCCTTTTGGTCACCTAGTTGACCACCTTGTACCTATTTTTCAATCTTGGTGTTTAATTCTCTGTCCAGATAACCGGTGTGATTTCTGTCTAACTGCATCCTGATTAGTACAGAAGTGGAGCTGGATTTTTGGAAAGGTGTTGGATTTGGTTTTGGATAAACTGAATTTCAACAACAGTGCCAAATTGAATTTTACAATATGGCACTGGAGTTTATGAGAGAGTTGGGAACTGAAATATTTTGTCACTGTCAGCATTGATGGGATGATGTAAGTATAAGATAACTTGAATTCTGTGGGTGAGGAATGTGGGGGAGCCAAGAGCAGATGGTTGAGAATGGTCTCATATATACTCACAAAGAAAAAGCAGTAATGTTAAAAAAAAAAAATCACAAGCTACGATGATGACTTGAAGCATTGGTAAATGAAGGTTCTATCAAGATTGTTAGGAAATATACTTAACTATGTTGCTGGTGTTTCCCTAACTACCTTGATATTGGGGCTGTCCTTACAGACAAACGGCTAAGTACCTTGAGTTCTTCCTTTTCCTTTTAAGACCTTTTGAGAAAGCCATGTCACATTGAAGGCAGTGATCTCTTCCCTTGTATCTTTTTTTTAAAATAAATATTTATTTATTTATGCATACAAGTACTAGGATACAGACCAGAGGTGCTAGAGGTGAGACGATTCACCAGAGACAGAGTGGGGAATAAGACAGGTAGATATACTGAAACACACGACTTAGGGGAGCAGTGGGCAAGACAGGAGAGGTCTGCTGCGCCAGGTGGGTCACCTCCCAGGCAGGGGACCAAACTTGTATTGCAGTGGCTGTGGAAAGCTTCATAGTGTTGGAACCTATTGTGCCACCAAGGAGGCCCTTCCCTTTTATCTTTTGATTCTGCAGT